TAGAGAAGGAAGGAAAATCATCGGAGCGTGCCATCAATATCGGCACAATATACTATCGAGTTTATGTTTTTGTAATGTTCCTAGAACTAACAGTAAACCAGTACAATAAGCAGCAGCATAATTTGTTAAACCCAGCTTAACACCATAACGTGGTAATTCATGTGCATATGCTGATGGTACAATATAGTCGCCTTCAATACGTGCATAAGCAATCTAAATAATAACTACATATATAAATGAATTGTTTATTCTATTTAATGTGCATCAGAATTTTGCAAAAAAAAGGTTTTCAACACTCTCTCATGTTCAGAAGAGATGACAGAAATATATTTAAAAATAAATCATCATATGCACTATGTAATTTTTCTAATACTTACTTGACAAATAATATCTTTATTTGTTATTCGAACAATAAGACGATATTTTGGCATATTATATTTATTTTTATCTTGATGAATAAGTACATGACGAGCATAATAACCCAGGTCGAAATAGCTATGTCGGATCCTGTCGGATAGGTTTCAAATCCGTTGAGATATGGCTAATCGGATTCGGTCGGTTACTTTTTGTCGGATTCCGATGCTATCCACTGTTTTCCTTTGATATCCGCCGGTCGGATTCATCGAGTTCCGACTAGATTCATATATTCGGAACTGGTCAGATTCGATCTCAAGATCTGTTCGCTTCCGATGGGATTCCGGGGAATCTGATGTCAAGAAATCGCCGGATTTTGCGGTTTCAAGTGACAGCGGATTCCATGATAAAACCGATCAATCACTGGTATCGGAACTTGTCGGATTATATAAGAATGCAGAATACCCAGGCCGATCTCACACCATCGGATCCGATGGAAATTAGTCGGAAGTTGTCGGATGTTGGAAAGTGTCGGATTTTCAGAGTTCCGACAAGATCCCGGCCACTTCCGACACTTTCCGACATCCGACAACTTCCTGTCAGAATCCGATACCAAGGATTCCGACGAATTGCCATCGGATTCGATAAAATTCGATAATTTTTCCGATAGGATCCGACGAGATCCGACTGTCGGATTGCTCGTTCTGGGTATCCAGTATTATTTTCCACGTAGTCGGATTCATGAATTAGAATATATTCTTACAGATCAATCAGCTAATCATCTAATAAGATATTTCTCTTTTTGCAAATTTCCAACAACAAAATCAAAAATCTGGAAATCCGATTTTGTCCGGATTTCATTCATCGTTTTGTTTTACAGGTATCGATCTATATAAGGAACTCTCTACTTTCATATATCAAGTGAATTCTGCCATTTTGTATAACTAAGTTCTATATATTAGGAACAATCTTAGTACAAGCATTGTTCAATTTTAAGAAGGATCGTAGTACATACATTGTTAGATTCTAGGAATAATCCCAGTTGAAACAGTTGAAATCCTTTAGGCTCTTGATGACATCCTGATGCAATCTTTAGAAATTTTGATAACATCCTGGTGAAACCTGTTCAAAATGTCGATTCAATCTTTGGAAAATCTTTAGAATTCTTGATGAAATCCTTGGGAAATCTTCATGAAATCTTCAGAAATCTCGACGAAATCCTTGAGAAATTTTTATAAATCTTGATGAAATCCTTAGGAAATCTTCAGAAATCTGGATGAAATCCTGGACAAGCATTTAGAAATCTTGATGAAAACCTTGGGAAATCTTCATAAATCTTGATGAAATCTTTGCGAAATCTTCATAAATCTCGATGAAATCTTTGTGAAATCTTCAGAAATCTCGATGAAATCCTTGAGAAATTTTTATAAATCTTGATGAAATCCCTAGGAAATCTTCAGAAATCTGGATGAAATCCCGGACAAGCATTTAGAAATCTTGGTGAAATCCTTAGGAAATCTTCATAAATCTCGATGAAATCTTTGTGAAATCTTCAGAAATCTCGACGAAATCCTTGGGAAATCTTCAGAAATCTCGATGAAATGCTGGAGAAATCTTTAGAAATCTCTAGTAAATCTTTGGAAATTTTGAGAATGCTAGAATGAAATCTGTGTGAAATGTTGATTGAATCCTTGTGCAATCGAAACAGATTTAGCCAACTTCTGATGAAATCCGACTGTATTCTGTCGGAGCCTTACGTTATCAGGCGTTTCTCTGTGAAAGGATCCTGGTGGTTACGGCATTATCTGACAAACAGTTCCGACAGGATCCAATCGGATCCTTTCCGACGTAATCCGGTCCGGAATCCGTTAGTTAGGAATCCTGCGAAATACGGTTGGGTTCCGATTGGATTTAGTTGGGAACCCGACGAATTCCGGTGTGATCCGAGATCGGATCCGATAGTTTCCGGTAGGATCTACAGGTCGGATTAAATCACCTGGGAATCAGTTTTATCCTCTAAAAATTAAACATAAAAAAGTCAAAGGAATTTATTGATACTAATAACTTACATCGCCGACGCTTTGATTTGACTTGATATCTTTTAAAATATACTTTATTTTTAACAACTTTAACAAAAGCCTATAGTCAATTGTCTAATACATAAGACGTCGTAGTATCTATTACACCCAAGCGTCTAAAACAGAAACGTTTCTAGTGTCGAACTAATGTCTAAATTAGACTTTAGATGTGTGCATCGTCTTGTAAGATGGATGGCATTTTTTTATAGTGTATATTATCACCAAGGCGACCATTTCCAAAATATACTTATTTTATACTCCTCCTTAATGGTGTTTTGCGAATATTACGATATCTATTGGTTAAAGAATCACCCAATAGAATCATTATTTTCGTTAGGCTGATACGATGACCCTGTAAAACGATACGAAAGTCCTGTATATTTTTGATACAAAAACCCTGTAAAAAATCAAAAAATGCAGGGCTTTCGTAACGAACCGTTACGAATCGTTACCTTCCTGTAGATCTACATTTCTGATTAACTATATGCATAAACAACCTTGGACGTCCGGGTGTTATGGTTGTTTATTTCTGTATATACATCTTTCAAAACTAATGTTTATTACTCAAAAATATCCTATAATTGATCGAATGAATTATAATTACCTATAAAATCATAATGCAAAATAAGAAAACGTATTGGTTGATATGTTAGGATTAGACACATGATATTATACTCATGAAATTTTTTCTTGGTCTCGATTAGATCTATAATCATTATAAATACATATTTGTATGTTGTTGTATGAGTAGAGCAGAATTAAACGAGCAGATGTGTTGAAGAAATTACATGGTACCATTACCAAATTTATTCGCTTTTTTTGCCGATCCATAGTTACACCATTCAGATAAAGCCTTGAAAAGAAAAGATGAAGGTTTTAAATTGCATTAGAAATAATATAAATATGTATCTGATTATATTTGTTGAATTCATTAGAAAATTTTATATCCTCATTTATCTCTCCTTGGCTTTTCAACTAGTAAAATAGAATATTTATTCATGACATTAAATTTTTTCGAACAGTATGTCATAAAAATGCAATCAAATATATCGTTAGCAAACTCATTATTAATTTAGTACATATTTATCTACAAATTATTGCCAGTTTAAGCAAATATTAAATGAATTAAGTCAATTGATTCATGATAAGATAGTTTAATAGGAATGATATATCTATCGAATATCTATATTTAAACATTGTTTTCTTGATATAATAGAAATTGATGTTAATCTTATTGATCCATATTTTTGATTAAAGATTATTTATTTTAATAAATGACCATAGATCAATTATCAGAATCAAATGCTGATATATCATTCAATGATCTAAATTTTATCTGCTACAACATTTATATTTCTATCATGCTCAACAGATGTTCTTATATCAAATAAATGCTTATTATTTAAAGTTGCAAAACATTTTCTGACTACCGATTGGCTATACGATTGATAATATTTTTTTTTGCAAATAAAAATGTAGACATCGTCATAAATTCAATAAAAAGAAAATCTTACATTCTAATCAATGCTTACGAAATATCTCAGAATTAAGATAAGTAAGAAATGTTTTTAGTAGACTTTCAATTACTGTCATGACTTATACTCGACAGTAATCAAGAGTTAATTATTATTGAATTTCATTCATATTTGCTTTAGCATCCATTCAAATTGTTCATCGAAAAAGATTAAAACAATTCCTTTTTTTTTTATTTTTTAGATCTGATAAACAATGGGCTAATTTCTTTGTAAGATATTGGAAAACACTTGCTATTACAAGTGTATCAATAACATCATTTTACTTGTTCTCTCATTATGATTATTCTCGAATAAATACTCGTCTATTATCTGTATTAACAATTCAAGCTGCGGAATATGTAAGTTGAATTTCATTTCTTATTAAATTAATGACGCCTTTTTTTTTTTGGTTTTACTTTTTCAGGAACGACGCAATGTACGAAAAGCATTATCGAAAAATTCTAAGATCAAACGAAGGAAAGATATCGACAATGACGATGATGATGATGAAGAAAATGGCAAAGATAATTTGAATAGAACAGATAAAAGAATTACAAATATTCATGAAAGACGTTTTCATGATTTTGCCTCGATTGAATATAATGGAGAAATATATATGGTCGTTTATGTTTGTGTTTATTAATCTTTAATAATAAAAAAAATTATTTTAGACACCAATCGATTTTCTTGAATCGGTCGTTGCAGGACGACCTAGACGTAAGAATAAAAAATTCATATTAGTTGTGAGTCTAATTGATTTTCTATTAGCTCGTATTGGTCGTCGATAATTAACAGAAGACATTGTTGATTCTATTTTATATAGTACACCACCAAAACATCGAGGATCAAAAAGATTTTTTCGAAATCTTGAAGATGCTAGTATCATTGAGGATAGTTTTGATGTTTTTGATTTCTGATCATTTTAATAGGTCTTATTTCATATGCGGAATATGTATTTCTCTGGGTGATTTTAACAAGTAAGAAATAAATAGTTTTATTCATAATCTATTGATTTATTAATTTAGAATCTTCTACACAATTCGAAATAGCATTTGCTATATTTGATACAGACGTTAAGAGTTTTCAAAATATTCAATAATAATTAATATTTAAGAGTAAGTATTCGAGAGACTTACATATCGACGTTGTAGATAGTGATGAGTTTAATAATCTCTAAAAATTTCAACTCGATTTTATCACTTTTTCTAAGATCATCATTGAAAATACTGATCAAATTTTTAATGATAATTATTTAGAAATTTCGGACGTAGCAGTACAAGTCACTAATAATTATGTTTAAAAGAGGATAAAGTCAAAACTCTCTCATTTCGAAAGACAAAAGTCATTTTTTCTTGGCTATAATGAAACTCCTTCGAGAATTTTGGGATGCTTGATCAAAAAAGAAGAGGATAAACAGAGAAAACAACATATTTTTCAAGCAGATGATGACAGAAATTATCAAACATTTTGACAAAGAAGAAGGTGCCAAATAAAAAAGTAATGTCGTTTATGAAAGATCAAATCTTGAGCTATCTTCCATACATTCATGTCAATTTCGATTTTGTCTTTTTTTGAAGGGACCTTGAAGGATTATTATAAGTATTGTCAGAACGTAAAAATGACCTTACTATTGTTGTAAAGAATATATTATAGACTATAAAATACTTTAAATAAATTTTTAAACGATTCTTTGTAATTGCAAATGAATTAAGATATTTATTTTTCATCACTTGTTTTATATTTCTGTTTGAATTGTTTGATTAATAAAAGTAAAAAATGAACAAATAAATTTGGTATAGTTTTGAAACAACAAAGTTTGATTATATATTTAGGTAATCAACTGGTTGATAAACATGAATTTCTTATAGTATGTTTCAAAATATTTATTTTCTAAATAGGTAAGTATTTTTTTTAGCTTGAAAAAGTCATGGGTGAAAAACGTATGATACGTCGACAATCGAAGACAGATTCTTCATTAAAATCGAATTTAACTCAAAATCTAAATAATTATTTTAATGTACGTGTAATTCATATATATTGCTTTTGTTATAATTATGCATGATTAATCAACCAATAAAAAGATTATCTTTATATTGAATGTGTTCATGTTTGACTGGACACGTATCTAACATATTCAACAAAGAAACGATTAATAAAAGAATCTAACATCGTACGTATTTATGCAATAAGAAATGAAAGCATATGTACAGATGTACGGGCGATTTGTAATCACATTGTACTGTTTGTGAAACAAAAATGATCGAAAAAAAAAATTTCCAAATTAAAAATGTTTTGACGTGGTGATTTTGTTATTATATGTTAAGACAGAACAGGCAGTGAGATTGCAAATCGCTCCTATATACTTATCGCTTGATATTAATTTTGTCTAGCTTAATAATAAATTTAAAAATTCCTGATAAATAAATTTGACAAATTTAAATCAAATTAATGTTTTAATTTTATAGTTTGATAATAGTGAACAAACAAATACAACATTACTTATACATTTTTTTGGTAAAAATGGTCGTGATACATTGAATTATACAGAATTGAAGCGGTAAATACAAATAAAAAAAAAAAAGAAAAGGTTTTTTTAAAATGATGATTTGTTTTTTTGATATAGTTTTATGGAAAATCTTCAAATAGAAATACTTGAAATTGAATTTAACAAATATTCATGTGGTTTTAAAACAATATCTGATTTAAATTTTACTGAAATGCTTTTACGTTATACAGATTTTGATTATGATACAAAAAAATTCATATTAAAAAAAGTCAAAAAACATCATGATCAACAAAATGTAGGAAGAAAAAATTATGTTGTTTTTATTCCTTAATCTAATTAAATTTCTATTAAAATAGGCAATTACATTTGAACAATTTAAACATTTTTCTACATTTCTTCAAAATCTTCAAGAATTTAGTATTGCTATGCGTTTTCATCGATTGTCAAATAAACCAATCTCACAAAGTAAGCATTTCTCTCATTAAGAATATTAATAAAATGTTTGTTTTTTTTAGCTGAATTCCAACGAGCAGTCAAAATTTCAATGGGTTTTGAACTTGAATCTCATATAATTGCTCTTATCTTTCGAATATTTGATGTTGATGATGATCAACATTTGTAAATTATTTTCTCTTTTTTTCTTAACATTCACATGAAATTGGTTTTTTTTCTTATAGAAGCTATGATGAATTTATCACCGTGATGAAAGATCGATGTTATCGTAATTTTCGTGTTAGTTGTTGTTTTTTTTCCTTCTATACATCTTTCAATTATTGATGAGACTTTTGCTCTTTTTGTTTTTTATAGACATATGATGATAGTAAAGTATCGAACTCAAAATTTGATCAATTTAAATGTTGTGTTCGTAAACGCCTAAAGACAATTCGATAATTACTTTGAATTAAATGCTATTGAAAAATTTGTTTTTTTTTTATTTGCATCTACTTACTTGTTGGCATTCTTCACCATGATTAATCTTTTAATATTTATCTAAATTTTTGAATTAATAAAAAAACCCTATCGTTTCACATTTCAAATTTACTGCATAATGTGATTAAAGTTTTTTTTTGTTTGGAAATCCAAGAGTGATGATGAAAAAAGGGGATTCGGTTTATGGAAAACAGAATTATTTTGTACTTTAACTTAGTCTGTTTTATAAATATGTTCACAAGTGATATATTTTGATATAAAATAAATTTTTAACGATGCCCAATAAACTAATGTTTATGCTAAATAATTATTTCGAAATGTTATCTAACGGATGATCGAAAAATAATTAGACAAAATGTTCATTTACTATTCAGTGTATTAAGTGAGTCTGCAGAAATTTGAAAACATTGGGTAAGAATCCGAACTTTGTATCCTTTCCAAATATGAGTTCAAAAATTTAGTAGAGTTTGGAAGTTATGAGCCGACCTTTTAGAAGCCCATAAATTTAGGTTGAACGAAGTTCAGAGCGTCAACAATTACCTAAAGCAAAAGCGAAGACTATATCCTCTAAAGAGAATGAAAGAGCACACATTTCATGGTAAAATAGTATACTAACGATTAGTTTCCTGCTAAGCATTTATCAATAGGGAGTATTCCGGGTAAAGTTTTCTCACTTTCAATGGAACACAGACTTATGAAGTGAACTCGGCCATTACTGAATGATTGCCATGAAACTCTTGATTCTTATATCATTTTTCTAGAGACCAATTTTGCCTTTTATTCTATGCTAAAAAAAATCTGCAATTTAACATATACAGTAGAAGAGAATATAGCAGTAAAGAACGTCAATTTCCACTGACCAAACATAATTTACAGGCCTCTAAAAGCTCAGCTCATAATCCTTAAACTAGAGTTGTTACAAAAATCTTGAACCCACTTTCGAAAAGAACACGAAATTTTGATACTAACCAAACGTTTTCAAACGACGCCGGTTAAGAAAATTTTTGATATTTGAGAATGATCAATATGGTTTTTTTAGAGAATCGAATGGCCTATCTTTCTATATATTTAGTTTTTCAAAGAGCTTTGGTTTTTTTTGTAGTGCTCGTTTTTAAAACAGAATTGCTAATCAGCAAAATTGTAGAACATTTGCAAATTATGATTAAGATTGTGTCAAACCAATTATATCAGTTACAGTTACAATAATAATTGAACTAGGAATACTTGAGCTCACGAGGGAATGTTATCCACTGATTAATTGCTTTCCTACCAAGAGCTACTGAATTATGAGTTACTGACTATGCTGATCCCGAATATAATCATAAGAAATCTCATTAGGTCTTCATATGCTAGTTTTCTAGAATAGCAAACATTTTGCCAAAATCATTTTTGATGAATTCAAATTATAGAGCACATCAAGTTATCTATAAGACAATAATCTTTTCTGTTTTCCGAAAATGAGTTTTAAGTCAAATAATAACATCTTGAAGATTCTCACATTGAAATGTTAATATGCATCTATTGTATGAATTAGAATGATTGTATTTTCTGCAAAAAAAAAACAATTTGAAACAGAAAAAATTACTGTTTATGAGACATTTCGATAGGCTCAATACTCTAGGCAAAGCAAAAGCAATTTTTGGCGAAAAGTTTGTTGATCTGGAAAATCAACATATCAACACGTAAGATGACTTTCTGATGGTCGTATTCAGAAGCAACATGTTCGATAGTCTCATTATCCAATAGCTTTCAGTGAAAAAGCGATTGATTAGCTGAAAATGTTTTTTCATTAGTTAGAAATGTATCGGAATTAGATCTTTGGAATTTTCAACTACGTTATTCGTAATTGTATCCCTTTTCTATTGCAAAACTTAATCAAGCATAGAAAATAAGATTGTTTTCTATAAGTCTTATGATAAAAACTTAAAATAGAAGAATTCATGTCTCGGATACGATAGTAATTATAATCAGTTCTGTTTTGAAATATTCTATCTTGAAAAATGTTGAATCTAGCGACGAAACTCTTGATAACATGACGCGCTTAGCGAGGACACCCACCTGCCATTGCGCGACCGCAATAAGTAGGACGCTAATATTCTGGCTCCATCGCTAGTTGCATAATACATTATTTTATTTTTCTACAGACATTCATTTCGCAATAAAAATTTTTCATATTATTTTTATTTAAATAAAATAAATGAACTCTTCATTGTCTTGAACAAAATATCTGATTAATAAATAAATAAAGAGAAAGAAGAGATTCATTGGATTGAAATACTACGGCTAAATCATATTCATGCAAAAAAAAACGGATAAAAAACAATCCTATGCTAGACTATGTTATAATCAAGATATTTTGCATATATCGGCATTTGTTCCCACATTTAAACCAATATTATCAATTTTTTTCGTATTTGCATTAAATAAATAGTTGATAATACTCGAACCATATAACCTGTTGAACCATCAACAAGTTGCATTGGGAGATGATAGAAATCTTTAAATGGATCTATTGAATTTGTTTGTTGTTGATATAATTTAACAGCTTCACTTATTAAATAGTCTGCATCAAGTGTTTGAGTAAAACGTAATTCAGGATTACGTTTCAATAAAACATTTATTAATTCAAATATCTAAAATATTTTATCAATTATAGAAGCAATAAAGAAAACATAGAAGATTTAATTTACTTCGACAACAAGACATCGATAAGCTGGATCAGATATTCGACTAAGCATTTCTTCAATTTTTAATGAAAAATTTAACTCATAATCAGTCATATCAGATAATGTTGGTTGCTAAAAATAAAACTAAGGTTCAATTTTTTTTTTTATAATTCATAAAACTTTACTTGTGGAAGAAAAGCACCACATAATTTTATTCCACCAGGTGTTCGTTCAAATATTGACCAAATATGTTCAAAAAAATCAGCTGGAACACGACATAATGCTCCATCCATTTGACGTTTTTGAAAAGATGAACTAATTTTAAATAAAAAAAAATTTATTTATTAAAAACAAAAAGAAGAATAAATTTTATTTACTTTTGTTCAACATCAGACGCTTGTATTGGTGCTTACTGTATATCACTTGTTAAAGCATAATAAAGCAATTGTTTGATTTCATTTGGTGGTAATGTATTTAATGTCTTTTTTAAAATATATATATAAAGAAATTTATAAAAAAAAAAGGAGAATAAATATTTACCACAGCATCTTCTACATCACCTTTTAAATGCTCTAAACTGAGTTTCATTGCTTGAAGAATCCATCTATTGAATAAAATAGGATTACAAAATTTAGAGAAGAAATAGAATCTAGACAAAGTGTATGTTTTATTTTGAATCGTCTTATGATCAGGGTGCGGGTATGAATGAAGGGAAGATTAACATCCATATTCATACCCACATCTACATCCACATCCACACCCACACCCTCGTTACACTAAAAGCACTCAAAAATCTCAACTTCTGAAGATACCGACAAAGCCTTGAGTATCCATCGCATTCCATCAAAAGCACGGAAAATCCTCGGTGTTACCTCTATTGATATACATTGTTGCATTACAATGAATATCGGAATAGCGGTAGTCAAATCTCGATACCCGAGTTACGGATATTATGACATTTCTCCAAAAATCTACTGTGTTTTCAACTAAATTCACGAATCAAAAGAAAATCACTCATCATCATCGATCGATCGATTAATCAACAAGAAGAATAACAACGAGACGAATCATCATTGATTTATGTGAAACTTTGTATTCGTATTTGGTCAATAAAAGATTTCATTTCTGTACGAAATCTCTCAGATGACTAATTCTCTTTTCTCAATAAAAAAAATCACAAAATCAATCAATCAAATCAAGTGAGAAGCAGAAAGAAAAGAAAAAGTTGTTTTCTTTCAATCAAATTCGACTGGAGAAGATTCATTGAATGTTTTTTGGAAGAAATCTTCTTGATAATGAAGATATATGAATTTATTTTATCACTTTCATTGAAATCTTTTCAACGAAAATCATTACATTCATCCGAGAGAAAAACAAATGTCATTGTGATTTCACATTGAATTGTCATGAATTTCAAATTGATGATTTCAATCATGAACAAATGTTTTGATCTCAAATGATCTTTTCCGGTCGTATTTCTACTCATCCCTTTAGATCTCGAGATGAACAAAGACAAAAAGAAACCTGATCATTCTAATTTTTCCATTAAATTGCTCTGATAGAAATAAAAATACTTTTAGAGATTTTCCAGAGTATTCAACTAGATAATTTGATCGATAAATGATGTTAGTACAGTGAAGACACTGAAGTCAGACCTGTTCTTATTAAAAATTGATTGAAAATTTTTAAAAAAAAGCAGTTTTTTTCTCTTTGTATTGGTAGCACTTATCTATTCTATTTATTCTCATTAACAATATTTTATTTAACTAATGTAAGTCGACTTTTGGTTTGAAATTGTATTCAAAATATACGATAGCTAGATATTCTCCAGCCTCTCTTTTATTGTTTAATAGTCATAGGACTGATATTCTTTCTTTGTCTATTGCTGTTATTCAACTAATAGACAATGATGGGTCTGCTTCGATTTTGTTTTTATGTCAAACAAACAAACAACAATTTATGCGTCAGAAGCAGAAAATACGAAACAAAAAAAAAACTACCATAGTCAAGATAAATAGAACAAAAAATGACTAATATGTTTATTATGAAATAACAGGAAACGAATTTAATACACATTTTGTCCTTCGCATGAAATAGATGTAAGTAAATATAGAAAAAAAAAAATACAAGCAAAAGATCAAATATCAGAATAGAACTTTCATCGAAGAACATTTGATCACAATTGAAATAAAAGCAGAATGATTTTGTTTCATAATTGGTCTATTCACAAGTATATTTTCAAAATTCTATTCGAAACGAATAGATGATTAACAATGAATAGTCAATGAAATATCTGAACAGTATCTCTAAATTGATCATTGGAAAGTGATTGACGATCATTCAGATAAATCACGACAATCCAAACAACTTAAATCTACAAAAAAAGACAACAAGATTTCTCAATGATGATGGAACGAACAATTTCTGATTACCTTCAAATGATAATTTTGAACGTGGTTGACAGATACTTGTAGCACAATTTCCAATATTTATTCGATCGTTGTATTGTTGATTGTTGTCGTTCGGATTATCAAGATCACCACATTTGCCCGGTATTGTTAATCGATATGATTCATCATTGTTTGGCTGTTGTCGAATATCTTCTTCGATGTGATCTGTGAACTGCTTGTGAAATTCTTCAATTGTTGGTATATTCCAACTTGTTGATTTCAATAGAAATATTGAATCCAAATCACCAATAGACTTGACAACATTTCCAAATAATAAAATTTCCAACTGATTTCCAGCCTCTTTTACAAATTTCCCATTTAATAGTTTTGCTGGTCTTGTAGAACTCATTACATTATTGGTGATGGGAAGTTCTACACGGCGGATGATATGTGAAATTTCGTGCAGAATGATGATTAATAGAGCAGCCCAGTGTCGAATTGCTTCTTCATAATCAGGTACTAAATCCCATTTGTAGCTAAAAATGAAACAAACATTCGTCTATTTGTGCTCTTATGTTAACAAATAATAGAGTTTTTCGTAAATGATATTAGTCAACAGTATTTCAAGATCTATCGTTCTTTTAAATGTATCTTTGTCTCTGAATTACATTTGTCGACAAACCTTTTCACATGAATATTTTTAAGAGAGGGCCCATCAGCCCATCAAGTATACGAAGCATACGATAAAAAGTAATTTGTTCGATTTTTTATACGCATTCGAAAGCACA